TCCTGGAAGTCTGCCCTCGCCAACGAAGCGTGAATCTCCAGTCTCTCAGAAACCACAGCTGGAGTGGCAAGCTTCTAGTTGGGGACTTCCTTACAGCGTTTGTCATATGCAGCTGTCAAACAGGACTAGACTGTTGCACTTATCCTGGACTTTGATTTTGGACCACTGCTTTTTTTATCTTGCTCCCAGACTTGTTTACTGGGATTTGGTCTTTCTAGGCTGATTTTCTTCTTGATATCCTTGGGTGGCATGGTGAAGCTCAGAGAGCGATTATGACCACTACACCCATGTGAAGATGTTGGGGGGAAAGGACACTGAGCTCTAAACTTAGCTCTTTATTTTGCATTTTTGACATCCTGATTATGATATTCTGTGGAGAGTTTCTTCTCTGGTTATGTCTGTTTGCAGTTCTATATGCCTTCTGAGTTTTGATGCCTACTTCTTTTATATATATATATATATATATATATATATATATATATATATTTGGGAGTTTTCTACTATCATTAATTAAATCATCTGTGTCTTGATTTGAATTCACCCCTGTTTCTCCTACTACCTATTAAATTCTCAGAAGGCTTTCTCTTGAATGTGTCCAGATTTCTTGTAAATAACATTCATGATTATTAACTATTTTCTTTATATGTCTCCTTGTATTAGTGTCTGCACCTTGTCTTCTACCTCTGAAATTCATTCTTCTGTATTGCCTTTTTTGTTAGTTATACTGCAGTTTTTAATAGATTGGCCATCGCTTTCATTTAAAGTATTTCTGTTTGATTGCTTTTCAGTGTTTCAACTTTCTTGCTAGTTTTTCCTCCCTACTTTGACCTTTGCCTCCGGTTTATGAATTGGTATATTTATGTTAGAAACCGACTTGACAAGGTCTTGATTATATTTCCTTAATTCATGTGTCATGTAAATCCCACCAGGATCTCCAAAGTTTGTTTGACTCTTCCTTTTGATCATTAATTATTTGAACAGTGAGACCCTAAATTCTTTTACAGATATTTTGACTAGTAATTTGGACTCCCTTATAAAGGAGTTGGCACGCTGGTCTTGGGTCATGAGTGATAGTCGTGTTGTCTTCCTTGCCTTTCTTTGTTATATTTTAGGAATCCATTAAAGCCAGTTTGTTTTGACTTCCACTTCTTCTGAGCCTGTTGGGATATTCTGGTTTCTGTGATTGTGTAAACATCAGTTAGAAGACTGGTTAAATGATGGAGGAGGGTTATCTGTCTATTGTGTTATTTTCATTGGTCGATAAAGAGACTGCCTTGGCCCCTTGGTAGGACAGAAAATTAGATAGGCGGAGTAAACAGAACAGAATGCTGGGAAGAGGGCTATGAGGCAGAAGCCATGAAGCCAGCCACCAGGTCAGACATGCTGAATCTCTCCCGGTAAGCCACGACCTCGTGATGCTACACAGATGGTTAGAAATGGGTTAATCAAGATGTGAGAGTTAGCCAGTAACTAACTCTCTAGAGATAATGGGCCAGGCAGTGCTTAAATGAATACAATTTGTGTGTTGTTATTTCTGGGACTAAGCTAGCCGTGCGGGAGCCGGGTGAGGCGAAAAGCAGGCCTGCCCGCAGCCCCTCACTACAGATGGTGCCCAACGTGGGGCTCGAACCCACAACCCTGAGATTAAGAGTCTCATGCTCTACTGATTGAGCTAGCCAGGCGGGAGCTGGGCAGGATGAAAAGCAGGCCTGCCCGCAACTCCTTACTACAAATGGCACCCACGTGGATAACTGAATCCACAGAAAACCTGAGAAAGTTTGGGAAAGAATAGAATAAAGCATATTTTCTTGGTGGCAGCAATTTCTCGGGTCTGCTCTGCTTGCTAGAGGCAAGCAAGCGCTCTCATCTAAGAGAGGCTTCCTGACTCAGCTTTAGCTGCAAAACCTTGCAGCTCATTAAGAGGTCCTGCCACAAAACACTTAAACCGTGTTGTTGAAAAGCTGAACCCATGCTTTTTTGTTTTCAGGCATAGAAGGAAAAAAGCTGCGCTGTTTTAAAATGCCGGCTTTCTGGGCTGTCCTGCCAGGGCAATCTCTGACTCTTTCAGGCAGGCAGTCCGACTGAGTGTGGTCTGTGAGCAGAATGCTGTGAGTTGCTTGCTAGCAAGGACCTTGAAAAGCCATAGAGTTGTGACAGTGAACACAGCTCTGGCTGGTATCTCAGCCATGAGGCTGAAAAGTTAAAAAATGAGATGCATCTAGCTGTCAAAGCCACGGCTCTCCATATTGCTTAGTAAATTAAAGGCTCATGTAGTCAAAAAAAAAGAGAGATATACAGTAAAGAGAGATTCAAAGAGGAAGAAAACCTCTAAATGGTTTACAATATGGTAAAAATATATGCAGGCTAAAGGTTAAAGTCATTAAAAAGAAAAAAGAAAAAAAGGAAGTAGCTAGGTGTGGTGGTACACACCTTTAATCCCAATGCCTGGGAGGCAGAGGTATGCTGACCTCTGTGACTTCAAGGGGCAGAGGTAGATTGACCTCTGTGACCTCAAGGTATGGTAGTACACACCTTTAATCCCAGCACGGGAGGTAGAGACAGATCTCTGTGAGTTCAAGGACAGCCTGGTCTACAGAGTTATTCCAGGACAAAAATATACAGAAAACCTGTGTCAAAAAGTAAAAGTAAAAATAAAAGAAATAGAGGTTAAAAATAAAACTGCACAAAGATGAAAAATACACAGAGAATCATGAGACTGTATGTTATTATGCTCTCTTTAAATTGTTTGAATGCTGAGGAAGGAGCAACAGCTGTTAAAAGATATTTGTTTATAAATGCTGCTGAACTAATCCAAGATAGATATTTTGAAAATACCTTTACTTCAAAATTTGGATCTAAGGATATGATACTTTGGAAAGGAGGTTCTTCTTTTGTTTTCACAGAGGATGAGACCCTGTGGATTGCTCCTATCCCAATATGGTATGATAGACCACGCCCTCCTGAAAGGTTTCTGTGAACACCCTCAAAAAATTTCTTCACTCAACTGCCGGCTGAGATAAACCTGGCAGACAGGTTTTACCATGAAAGACCTGATTAACAGCGCCCCAATACAGTAGGAAGAAGTTTGGAGAGAAATAACTATGTACATATTCCCAAATATTGTTTATACATGTTCTTTTACATTTAAAGGGGGATATGATATAGATATGAATAATTTCATTGGTATGGATTTTAAGGTCAATTTTGTTATATGTACATATATTTCTGATCTTGATTGAGGTATTGTGATGCTGACTATGGAATAAATTGCTAAAGTGATCCTGTCTTAGCTATATGCCAACAGGACAAAGGGTGGGGCTGTACACTGAGCACCAAGATGACCAACCAGATGGAGGATAAACTTTAGTCAACTTTTGGGTTCTATGAATCTACTAGAGAAAAAATGCTTTAGACCCAGTGAAATCTGTCTACTATATGGGGAATGTGATTAAAGCCAAAGGCTCAAAATAACCTTTGGGATCACAGAAATATAGGATCATGCCTCAACATGGAACATAGGAATATTCTTACAATTACTGGTTCTGATGTGACCCAAATGCCCACTAGGATCTCAGCAGAAGAAGACAGCATGTTTAGCACTGTGACAATATTCTGAAGAGGTTGAGAATGACACAGGGAAGCAGAAAAAGTCCCTGCATGAGGTAGAAAGATAGACTCTTTTGTCGCATTCCCTGCTACAACCTCTCCATAACTACTCTTTCCTAAATTCAATGGTTGTCATTTGTCTTGCCCTGCTGAGTGTTTGCATGTTCTTCCAGTTTTTTAACTGGTATAGGAATGCATGAAGAGAACAGCTCTAGGGGGACTTACAAAAGTACCCAAGAATAAGCAGCTGTAGGCACAAGACTTTGTAGAAAACACAGCAAATAGCAGTAAGGCAGAGGACTCAGATGCAGGCAGCATTCATGAGGAAAAAGGATTTCTCAAAAAAAATTCAAGATGGATTTAGTTTCAAGAGAGTTATCAAAGAACTTACAGGTGGCTTAATCAATCTTTCCATCAATGAAAATGGAATCCCTTCAAACCAAAGCACACATTGTTGGGAAGGGATGAAGAATATGTTTGCAGAGCCTGCTGTGGGGGCTCAGCCTTCCTTGCTTCCACTCCATCTCTAGACTGCTTAGTTGCATGGGACTTCCTCTCTTCTATGTCCTGGCATTCAATTAAAATTAACAAATTACCACTGCTAGCCTATCTGGTAGGTGGAGGCAGGTCCCAGACCCTCACTGGTGTCACCTATAACATTGGAAATCACACATGGGGTCACTGCTAGTGATGATGTCAGGCTCCTGTCCTTTGTGTCTTTTGGGCTTCTGCAACCTGTGACCCTCTGTGTTCTCTACAGTCTTGGTAGAGATGTAGTGATGAGCTTTAGCTCATGCTAGTCCCACAAAAATTCCTTCTGTCGGGAATGTGGTCAGCAGGTCTGGAAAAGCTTATGATTCAGGCTACTTCAGCCATGACCTAAAAGAGTCTGTCTCCATGTCACATTGTGCTATGTGCCTGTATCTGTCCTTGCATGTCGGGGAGAGGGACAAAATCCTCTAGCCTCTTGTCTCATAAGTGCATTAATCTATCATGAGAGCCTCAGCCTCATACATCATCACTTCCATAGTCCACTTGAAGACTCCATCACTTCCCATGTAGGATGCCAACACATACACCTGTAACACAAACACACACAGAGAGAGACACACACACACTTCTAATGCTGCGTGAGTCAAAAATGATAGCAGTGGGGTGGGTAGTGGCTTAAAACTCGGCTGTTTTTGTTGCTGTTGGAGTTTTAAAGTCACAAAAAGCATCTCTTTATTTTCACTGTAATCTGATAATCTTTCTCTTCTTTTGTTGAGACAAGGTCTTGCTATGTTGCTCATGCTGTCCTCAAGCTCAAGAACTCACAATGAGTCCCCTGCCTCAGCCTCCTGAGAGGCAACATTCATGATAATCTTTAAAAGATGTCATTTGGTGTCTTTCAGGGAGTCACCTGGGATGCAGAGATAAGGTGTATGAAGATGTCAGGCATGCAGGCTGTTCTCAGCACCATGGCACCTTGAAGATGCTGTCAGTGATTTCACATTGTCCCCAAGGTGACTGTTAACAAGACCTACAGGGACAAGCAAGGCCTATATCCCCATGCTCCACTTGGCATTTTGGCCTCGACTTACACAGTGAGCAGAATGTTATTTGGGGGTTTAGTGGAGCTGACAGATGGCTTCACGTTGCGTCTTCCCAAGGCCCAGGGAAAGACTTGTGAGTTCTAAGTGTAGCCAAGAACTGGGTCATCTTCATACTCTGAGAGGGCCCAAGCTCATGTGGTAGCTGCATGTCTGTGATGGACATCATTAGAGTTGCTCGACATCGCATCAGTGCTGAGAATGCACACCCTGACTACATCCCTCTGCTCCAGCATCTATGAGTGCTGCTATGGTTGTGGTCCTTCCTGTAGCACATAATCCACATCATGAAATCTCACAGCACGGATCACTCCTTACAAAAAATGGGTTTAGTGACTAGGACTGGGCAATGGGTAAGGATCGATTTTCAGGTGTGTGGCTCAGCTGATTATACAGCAAAAGAACATAGTTCATTAGCAAACACAGCACTCTGCAATAACTGCAAGCTGCCCCAAAGTTCATTTGTAAGGAATTCATAAAGATAAGAAAATGGTCAGTGGGTTAAATGTGGGGGAGGGGCAGGGAGTGTGGGTCTCTGTGTGTGTGTGTGTGTGTGTGTGTGTGTCTGTATATGTGACCTTGTGTCTTTTTTCAAAGAATACTTGAAAAATCAGATTCTAAACATACAGCTCCTAAGAAAGCTGCCTTTCGTTCCTTTAGTTTACAGAGGAGAATCTCTGGGTCTGAGGTAGAAAGGAATGCCCTTTCAGCCATGAGTGACTGTTGTCCCTGGGCTAGGGGTTGAGCCAGAGCTGGCTGGCTGGACACCCATGAGGAATGCATTAAGAAACCCATGCACACCTCTTATTAGTATCACCTCCTTAGGTAAAGGTACAAAATAGTCCCACGATTTTATTTTCCTCACATATCTGCTGGAAGCTTGTTCTGTCCCAAGAAATGGGGACAGTCCTGAAGAAAGAAGCAGACCCCAGTGTGACACAGGGACCATTAGGAATCAAGGGCACTTTCTCCCATTTCTAAGGAGGTCGTGCAGCGTGCCGGCGACTCACGCATTATTGTAGCCCAACGTACTTGTTAGCCGTTTTCCCTTCCTAAATTAAAAAATTGAATTATATACTCTGCCTAGTTACTGGGCCTGTGAAGTTTATTAAAGTTTATCGACCATGTGTGGACACTTCAGGATCCCACTTCAATCGAGGCGACCAAGATGGAACATTGAATTAAGAGGCAGTGCTCGCCTCGGCGCGGGTGGACTCCAGCCGAGCTACAGGTAGCTCAAGTCTCCTTCAATTAGACATAATCATCACTCACAGTCAATAATTGTGCTAAGGGCTGCTTTCAAATCTGTGAGGGATTCGCATTTAATGTACTGATTCAGCTTGTCTGAGCCAAATTCACTGTGTACTGAAACCAAAGCAATTTAGTTCTTGCCTACGGCCTTTTTGGCAGTTCATCTAGAGCTGAGCTCTGTGAGGACGCTGCGATACAATTTAATCTGAGACATCTGTGCGCAGACAGGACCTTTTCCTTAACGGAAAGAGACGGAGCAGCGGCTCAGCTCTGGTGTTCTGTGAAGAACCAGGCCTTATCTAGCCCGTGAAAAAAATAAAGCATTTAAGATAGAGTAAAAAGCCAAAGCAAAGACATTTTTTTTTCCTGTGGGTTTATGAAATGCACACGGCAGCTCCAACAGCCTCCTGCCTCAACCCGCAGAAAACACTTGAGCCCTGAGCCCTGGATTAACCATTTAAGGATATTACACTTATCGCGGGCTGCAGCTGACGGCGGAGATCTTTATTAAATATGAAGGCGAGTGTCTAGTCCTTTGTGTAGTCATAGAAATATGGAAATTCCTTCACGTACCTTGCTGGCTCTGTGTGGGGGAGGGAGGGCTGAAAAAGGACAGCAGTCTTTGTCCCCAACCTACACCCTTGGGAGCCCCTGATAGAGAGGTCTGGCCTCTGTGAGTTATGTAATACTGTCAGTACCCTTTCCCGGAGACTGGGAAGGACTTGATTCTGTGGCTATTGTTAAGATAACAACCTGGACACTGCTGGCCCTTGACCCTTGTCAGCACACGAAGGCCCACTGGCTTTATTTTCCAGGAGCTGGAGAATCACAGAATCTACAGGAACTGTAGAATTCATAAGCACCCAATAGATGTGTGTGGTGGGATTGTTGTGTGTATTCACTTGACGAGAGGAAATTTGGGTAAATATAGAAAGAGCACTCGGACCTTGTAGGTTAAGGAAAGATTCAGGAGGTACCCATCACCCTGCTCTTTGCTCTGGACATCTATGGTTCCCAGCAGGCTTAGCTAAGGGCATCCAGCCTAGAAGTGTGCTGTGCAAGGGTAAGGTACCTGCTAACAGCAAGCAGTGGACCAGCAAGGGTGGGGAGAAAGAGGACTTTGGCCTTGGCCTCTGTATTCAAGGTTATAAGCAAAGGAAGACAGGAGAGTGTTGGCCCACCTCTGGAAGTCTCCTCTTTTCTCTCTGGGGTTCCAGAGGTCTCTGTGGGTAAAAGCAGACTGGGGCTGTAGGGAGGTCCCTGGAGATCCCTCCCAGGGCTGCTGTGCCCATCTCTATGGGAAGAGCTGAGAAGCAGAGCAGCCATGTGCTGCCCGATGAAGCTGGCCTCAGCACCAGGACCCAGGTCCACAAGAGGATGTTAGAAGTACCTGAGCTACCCCTACTTCCCTCCCCGGCTCCTCCCATACTCCTCTCCCTGAGGCTTCATGGAGACTGTAACAGAAATGTTAGCCCCTGTTCCAGTAAACCAAGCCTGGGACAAGTCAGAGAGGTCATCCTGTTAGTGGAGGGGGAGGCACTGTGCAAGTGTAGACCTGAACCCAGTAGCACAACCCATACAGGGCTGTGGATAGGAGTGGGGACTCAGTCATGAAAGCATCATGGCAGGAAGAATATTACCCACAGGAAGTCGGAACCAAGTGTCACACCCATATCCCAAATATGGAGATACAGAATCTAGGTACAGTCTCCCTGAGACCATACCAGACATATAACCACACACTGCTCAGACCATGTCACTGGACACTCCATGTAGACAGCACACACACAATACACTTCTCGGACCACAGGCACTTCACACACAGACTGTATAGACAGCATCCTTATACAAGCTACATATGTATGCATCACATGTGTATCATATATGCACACATAGAACATGCCACAAGCACTCATACCTCACGCCAACATTGGAACACACTACACATACCACATATGTCATACAGCTTATATGCCCTGTATATACCAGGCATTGCACCTTCTTCTGCTTTTATTCATTTCCATACATCATACATACATACAACATATAAAATGTATACACACAACAACACAGATCACGTATGCATTACGTGCATGTCATTTGTGCATATCATATGCAGGATTTCTTTGAGTGTTGGTCTATATGCTGACAAGATAACCCTCAGTTCCCAGCCAGAATCTCAGCCCCAGAAAGTGACATTATGATTGTTACCCTAATGCTCAAAAGGACTGGACCACTCTTCCAGGTTCTCTGAGCTCAGGAAGGCTCAGTGACTCCAGTACCCAAAAACAGTGCCATCTACACATACACATCAGATGTAAACAACCAGCCTCACCGCGTACCTCAGTTCATGTTCACATGCCATTCACACCACACAAGAGAGCGTATAGCCAGCACACATCTGCCTATCAGGACTAAACCCTGGTGCCTCTTCTGCTGGTCTCCTTCCAGTTCTCACAGGGAGCCAGCCTCACTCTCAGGAAGCAGCCCTGTTCCACAGCCCACCGCCCTCTCCTTGCCAGGAGTATGGACATCGTGGGGTCAGCTTAGCACATCCGCCCGGGACACAGTTTCATCAGTCTTCCTGTCCTTGTTGCTCAATCATGGTGGCCTGTGGTAGGGTTTGATCCTCCTTTCCCAGGTAGAATATGTCTCCCCATTATTCTCACGGTTCTTGGCAAGTCATCATTCTACCCACAGCTCCACAGACTGCAGATCCTAGAGTGAGAACCAATGTCTGATGTGGTTTATAGGAAGCTAATCACTGTTCATCGTCAGAGATCCTTCGGGCTGCTAACTGCTGCACAGACCCCTTGGTCTTTAGTTACTCATTTCAGGAAACGGTGACTGGAGATGAAGCACATAGAAAGGAGGGCTCCAATTTCATTAGGAACAATATTTTTCTTAATGGAGATTTTATTAAACCAGCAGGAACATGCATGTTGTCTTGAAACCATTGACTGCACTGAGGACCAGCTGGGAAGTTGCATGTCTAAGTGAAGCTACTGCCCTGAGCTTTGAGCTGATCAAAGATTTGAAGTCAATGTAGTAAACGCTGTCACAAAACACAAAGGGGAGTTTCGTAATCTTACTCTCTTTATATCTCTGATTTGTGATATCACACTCAACGGCAAGACAGGTGCCAGCCCAGAGGAGTTCCAGAGTTTGCAGACATTACCAGCCCTCCAATTTTTATGGATATCATTGGTTTGTTTCTTGTTTGTTTTATCTGTCTAGAAAGAAATCTGCCCATGTCCATCACGTATCTCTGAAGACGTGCACTCTTACAAACCTGTATGCTTTACTGGGTGCTTCTCTAGACTGCATTCTGAAGACTGAATGGGTCTGCATGTTTGTAACAGGCCAGCCGGTCCACAGCAGCACTGAAGGTGTTCATCAGGAAATCCTCCATGGCTGTACCTGAACATAACAGTTACAACAAGCCTCTGTGAAAAACAGGACGAGAGCCCGGGGCCAGCGCCACCAGCACAGAATGGTGCAGAGACCTCTCTATATCTCACAGCAGCACACGGAAATCCCCAGACATGCAGCTGTTCCATGGACCTGTAAACCGCTGTCAGGTACTCACCCTTCTCAAGGCAAGCAATTTCCCCTTCCACTTTGGGAAGTGGTGAGTAGATGTTTGTGCTCCTTACAAAATTACAGGCTCATGTAGGGCTGAGCCCCTGCAGAATGTCCACAGTAGATTAGCTTCTGATCTGCTTTGGTCCATTGGTTGCCAAGATAACTAAAGCAGCTGCTAGCCATTGCCTCACCCTGGGAGAGCAATATTCTGTGTGCCCACCTGATGCTCAAGTGGCTGGTCCACTCTGCAAGGCTCACTCGAATGCTCAGGAAGGCTCAGGGGTCTCAGAGCCTGAGCCCAAGGCCATCCTCTGGAAAGGACAGATGCACAGATTTAAAGAAGGCAGGCCTGTTGTGTTTGGAACACACAGGATCGAGTCAGCAACCTAGTTCCCTTCACTTAAAGAAGGCAAACTTAGGCTCACCACACTAAACCTATCTTCTCCAAATACCATTGTGCAAAACAGCCATAGTGTAAACCCGGAAGACAATATCTTAGAAACCAACCTTTACATTTCATTACAGATGGTCGTGAGCCACTATGTGGTTGCTGGGAATTGAACTCAGGATCTCTGGAGGAGCAGTCAGTGCTCTTAACCTCTGAGCTATCTCTCCAGTCCCCAACCTTTACATTTCATAGCTGAAGAAAACTCACCCTGCAGACATGAATTATGATTGAATGATCCAGTCAGCGAAAGCCAGCCTGAAAGCCCCTGAGGCCGTACTTCCACCTATAGGTCAAGCTCTTCAATCCAGAAACAACGTTCTGGGCTTCTGTGTACACTGATCTTTGCATTTACCACCTACGTGGGTGCCCACCCCATTCTTGCCATAAAACTTCTGGAGGGTAGCTCAAGAGCTTGGGACATAACATATTAGGCTTATACCTGGGGGATTTCTAGTTCCATAAGAAAAGAGAGATTGACCACCAATGTCAGAAAAAGCTTCCGTCTGACCAGCACTGCATGCCAAGGAGTTTGGGTCTACATGAGTTTAGATGAGACACACAGGCAAAAGCCTCAGATTTGGGGTTGGGAAGGAAATGGATTGATAGATGGGCTTTTAATGATCTTGACTCTCCCATGGTTCTTCTGGGTACTTTAACAGATCATAAGCAATGGACTAACAGGGCACATGTATATAAATCACTTTGGTGGGCAACGGTTTCAATAATCACAGGGTTCAGGGGTCCATAAGGCCTTTTCAGGCCACGTAGTGTTGCCACCTGGCTTTTTACCTCTCCAAGTTGCCTGAGGTTCTGTTGACCACACTGCAGGTTAACTGTGTGTTTGTGCATTTTGCTTCTCCTTCACAGTTTACTGAGTATTTTCTCTAGATGCAGCTACTTCATTCCTCATGTGGAAGCCCTCCTGTGGCAAATGCAGTCACTGTAGCAGAGCAGCAATGGCAGAGGCATGTCAGATGCCGGTGCACTGCTCAGAGTGAGCTCTTTGGCGGATTTCTTTGATTGGCTAATTTTCCTCTCAGAATCACCTGGCTGGTGTTAAAGGCCAGGCCCGTGGCAGGTGCATTTGCCAACAGCAAACGAGACACTGTGATCAGGCAGAGTTTTGTCATGGTGGCTTTAGCTTCAGAAATCAAAGAATTGCACCATCTCTTGAGAAACTATGAGCTTTGGGAGACCAAGTCACCATCTGGATACTTAGGAACTAGAACTCAGGGGAAAGATGAACTTGAACATCTCTTTTGCACCCACATTAGTTTTCTTTTAAAAATGTGTGTGTGTGTGTGTTTGTGTGTGTGTGTGTGTGTGCGTGTGTTAGCAGAAGCAAATGTGCACACAAACACAAACAGGAAGGAGGAGTGAGGGAGAGTGGTGGGGAGAGAGAATTTTTTTCTCTGTTTCCGAGCAGCGCAGCAGCAATCCTGTTAACAGAATACCTCTGCTGCTCTCAGAGGAGGAGCGTGCAGTGATAGAACAAACCCTCACACTTCCAGAACTCTTATGGTTGCTTACCTTCTTGTTTTTGTGACCAAAAATTATTCCATAGGTACAAGAAGAATGCATGGCCTGTGACTGCCCGCCTTAAGGTCAAGGAAACTTTTCCATAATACATGACCTCGGTGGTCTAGTCTGAGGAGATGTTTCTGACAGGGTGCTGTGCCAGCTGGAGATAAGGAATGAGTAGGTAAAGGGTTACTCATACTTCGTCAGAGAGAGACCTGCAGAGTGGGAGCCATACTCACTCCTTGGCTTCAGGAAAACTATAACTACGAAAATCATACAAATGTTTCATTGAAGTTTCCTAATTGCTACAGCCTCTTGAGGAACAGCGTCCCGAAATAATTCTCTGTGAGTAACACTGTTTCTAAGGATGGAGGGAGGAAAAGAATGATGAGGATCCTGAGAAAAAGGTGGAGAAGACATGTCCTCTGTAGCCAGGTCAAGAGCTGGCCCAGAGTCTCACGCAGGGTTTGGGAGTACTAAAGTTCCTAGTGCGCCTGGCCGCGGAGGTCTCACCAGGACACCATATCAGTACCGGCTGCTCCCTTGCTCTGTGAGACAAAAGACTGACCTCTGGTTTAGATATGATTGTCTGCTCCTCTCATTAGGGACATATCAACTGACTCTAATATGCATCAAGATTATTAGGTCAGCAGGAGCTAATTGATGTTTGTGTAGGGAAGGGCTAGGGAGTACAGTACAAACTGTTTAATAAAACAAACTAGACCTGGGAAAGAAGCCACGTGGTGAGGGTGTAATGCCTTGGCTTACCATCAGAACCTTGGCAGTGTAAGGTCAGCTCCATGAAGAGCAGGGATTTGCCTTCTGCTGCAGAACTAGATCTGAGGTCCAGAGGTGCTAAAACTCGGAGTTTGTGGAAGGCTCTCTGGGGGGTTAAGCAATGAGCTTGGGCTTATTTCTCAGGCACATTTTTAGTTGGCAGGCTTCTGTGACATCCTGGTTTCAAACCTGAAAGTGTCAGTTAAAAGATGATTAACAGTGTTTTCTGGTCGGGGGTCACATTTCCAGCTTCTGCTCCCAGCATTTGAATTCTGCTAAGTGTCCTTTACTGATGTTCAAGTGAAGAAGGAAACTAAGACTGATTTAGCACCTGAACTTTCTTGAGTCTTATATGCTCAGAGAAAAAGCAGCCATTACAGTTTAGGGGGGAGCAGGAGGGGTGGGGGCAACTGAAGTACTTGCCTATTGATCAGCCACAATCTTCAGCATAGTTACAACATAAAAAAAACCCACAAATACTTATAATACTTCTATAATTTAAAGAAATGGTTACCCCAGTGGTACGCCAATGGTTTTATTTGTTGACAAATTTTCCTGGGATGATAAAATATAAACAGGCTGTAGAAACAACATGAAAAGTAACCAGAAAGAGGCACAGAGGCCCACACAGAAAGAGAAGGCTCTGGACACTGTCTGTCACACCAATGAGATCCAGGAGACACGAGGAATGAGAGCATGTACCTGCACGGAGGTAGGGAGACAGAAGGTCTCACTGAGAAGGACTGTGAGGTCAGAACAGGGAACAGGTGGGGTTGTCAATGTTAGCCAAGGTTCCTGGGACCAATTGTTTTTTCTCTCTTAAGTGGAGACAGAAAGGCATTAACCTTTCATGACACCTCCCTTTAGGTTTCCTAAAGGAGCCTGGAGCTCAGCATGGTAGGACAGACCCCCACGATCTGTGTCTATGTAAGTCCTCAGAACTGCTGACTCCTGCCTTGCACGGGTCACGTGACTTCCTCATAGACATCCTGTACTTGGTCACATCTGTCCTCCTGGCTGACTGTAAGAGCGTCTTTGTTACCTATCCTTCCTCCACACAGATCTTCCCACCTGTCAATCAATCTGTGCAACCCTGATTAAATTGCATCACAAATCACCACACATCCATCAAAATGTTCAGAGTTCAGAATGCTGGCCACTGTGGACACCAGGGAACACATGAGCCGTGGGGGAGAGCTCTGACTTGTTGCTAGAGCAATGCAGAAAGCAGTCAGGCAGTTTCTGGGAGACCAGAGCAACAGTGGAAGACTGAACTCCCTGCTGTTGAGCGGAACAACTGTGGTGATCCAAGTATCTGTGTGTGAATGGTGCCTCTGTGTACGTGCGTGTGTTCCAGTATGTGTGCATACTTATGGGTATGCATGAGAGTATATGTGTATTTGTGCTGTGTTTTATTTTTTGCAAGTGTGTATACATGTATTTTGCTGTATACATGTATGTGTGTGTATATATCTATATGTATACATATGTGCTGTGTGTGTAATTATGTGTTTATGTATGTGCAGATGCACGTATGTATATGAGTGTATGCATATGTGTAGAAACCAAGCACAATGTCAGGCATTTTTCCCCTCAGGTACCGTCCACATTTTTGAAAACTGTAACAATCTTTCACTGGCTTGGAGCTTTCTCAGCAGCCTTAGCTAGCTGGTGAGTCCCAGGGATCTGCCCATCTCGACTTCCTCAGTACTGAGATCACAAGCCACACTACTTACCCACGGTTCTGAGAAAAGAACTCAAATTCTCACTCCTGAAGGGTGATGGTTTGGCGACTGAGCCATCTCCCTGCACACAAATGTTAGAAAAGCTTCATTCTAATGTCAACCTATGGAAGAGTAAAACGTCCTCTGGAGAGATACTGAGTAAATGTCCTGAGTAAATGTCCAGCCATATTGTGGACCATTACTAAGAAATGTGCTGCCCAAAGAGAAGACGTGGAGGAGTCAAAGGTGGGAAATGCTGGTCTATTGTAACATGAGGGCCGGCTTGTTGGGGTATCTGTCCCACCCAGTACACCACAGCCGACAAGCCCCAAAGAAAATTAATCACACAGAAAACTCTGTAAGTTATAAAACTGATTGGCCTATTAGATCAGGCTACTTATTAGTTCTTATGACTTATCTTAACCCATTATTCTGATCTATGTTAGCCACACGGGCTCAGTACCTTTCTCAGTGAGACAGCTTACATGTTGCTTCTTTGGTGATCTGGACAGGAATGGCTGAGGAAGTTTCTGCTTCCAGAATACTCCTAGTCTCTTTGCTCCACCCCTACTTCCTGTCTGGCTTTCCTGCCTATACTGCCTGCCTGGCCAATCAGCGTTTTATTAAAATATATGATTGACAGATTACAGATAATTCTCC